CACTTCTAACTTACAAATGTGGCCAAGACAGACTTGTATTCAACTGCAGATCTACAAACCTTTGCTGTTAGAAGACTTACTGTGCAAGTAATCTAACCTTAAAGATAAATGGAAATTTAAAATCTAAAAATGAAGGCAACTGCAATAACGGAAGAGAATTAAAAACAAACTGAAAAAGAGACATTGAACCAATCTGCTCTTCCTTGGGCATGGTATAGTATATTATGAAATCCTAAGCCTTGCAAAATGAAAATTTTGTAATAGAGTGTCAGATCACATCATGTAAGATTAAATGAGAAGAGGTACAGACTGAAGAGGTTGCCTTTGGACATAGGACAAGAGCATTTTGCAAGGAATGAAAAGGCAAATGATCAGTGCACTTGCCTCATGACACCACAGCACAAGACTCTACACTCAAGCAATGGCTACAGAGCAAAGCCATACAAAAATACCCACAAAAGTCCAGCTATTGCGTACACATATTCATCATAGTCTAGTTACGCACTCTGTGAAACAGGTAGGACTAGCCCAAGCGCACTGCCATGCCTGAAGCTTTGGTACACTCAGAAAAGGGGACATATGGCTACCCATTATTACACCTATTCATACAGAGTGAAGATACAGGGAAACCTCGTTGTGCTAGCACAGCTAGACCATAGCTAGATCTACACAGCTAGATCTACACTGAATAAAGCTGCTCCATGCTGAAAACTGAAATCAATAAATAGGCAAAAAATACAATCACTATATATTTAAGCTACCTGAAAAGAAAACAGATTCCATTTTTTAACTGCTCAAATTACAAAACATATTAACAAGTTAACAGACAGACTCACAGAACGGTTAAGATTGGAAGGGACCTCTAGAGATCATCTAGTCCAAACCCCCTGTTCCAGCTACAGCATATGGCACAAGGTGTCATCCAGGTGGGTTTTGAAGACCTCCAGAGAAGGAGACTCCACAACCTCTCTGGGCAGCCTGTTCCAGGGCTCTGGCACCCTCATAGTGAAGTTCTTCCTCATATAGAGATGGAACTTATTGTGTTTCAACTTACACCCATTTCTCCTTGTCCTGTCACTGGCCACCACTGAGAAGAGCTTGGCCCCATCCTACATCCCTACATTCCCCCTTCATATACTTAAATATATGAATCAGATCCCTTCTCAGTCCTTTCTTCTCCAGGCTAAACAGGCCCAACTCACTCCGTCTCTCCTTGTACAAGAGATGCTCTACTCCCTTAATGATCTTTCTTGCCCTCCGCTGGATCCTCTCTAGAAGCTGCATGTCCCTCTTGTCCTGGGGAGCCCAGAACTGCACACAGTATTCCAGGTGTGGCCTCCCCAGAGCTGAGCAGAGGGGCAGGATCCCCTCCCTGCCCCTGCTGGCAACATCCTCCTGATGCAGCCAGGAGCCCATTGGCCTTCTTGGCCATGAGGGCACTGCTGCCTCATGGGCAACTTGTTGACCAGCAGGACTCCCAGGTCCTTGTCTGTGGACCTGCTTTCCAGCAGGTCAGTCCCTAATCCACACTGGTACCTGGGGTTGTTCCTCCCCAGGGGCAGGACCCTGCACTTGTCATTGTTGAATCTCATCATGTTCCTCTCTGCCCACCTCTCCAGCCTGTCCAGGTCCCTCTGGATGGCAGCACAGCCCTCTGGAGTGTCGACCACTCCACCCAGCTTGGGATCATCTGCAAACTTGCTCAGGGTGCACTCCGTGCCCTCGTCCAGGTCATTGATGAACAGGTTGAATAGCACCAGGCCCAGTACTGACCCCTGGGTGACACCACAGGCCACAGGCCTCCAACTGGACTCAGCCCCATTTATAACCACCCTCTGACTATCAAGCCGGTTCTCAATCCACCTCACTGTGCACTCGTCCAGTCCACACTTCCGGAACTTTCCTGCGAGGATATTATGGGAGACACTGTTGAAAGTCTGGCTGAAGTCAAGGTGGACAACATCCATGGCTGTCCTCTCATCCAGACGGCCAGTCATCCCATCATAGTAAAGAGAATTTGTAACAATCTGAATTTCTTAGTTATCTGACTGGGAAATTCATAAGAAACAATGAATATGCCAGTAGAAATTTGTGTACATATATGACACAGCTGTAATTTCAAATCAGAAAATTTAATTCAATGGGTATTTGAGGTCACCATATGGTTTTGTGTAATACATCTAGTTGTGTCTGTCTTGGGTAGCAATTACACAAGTCATGCACGATGTGATCCCTTCTCCTGACATTTCAAATGTAAATTAAGTCATCATATTGATTTTCATATCTATTAAAATCCAGAATTCTTTCCCCAAGAAATCAAAAGCATAAGATTTTTTTAAAAAACTAAAAGCTTTCAGAGTTCTTTATTTTCTGCACCTTTCAACAAGGAAATAGAAATTGAGTAGGAAGACAGATTACTGGTGATGTAATTCAGGCTGTGCTCTGATCATCTCATAAACTTTTATGATGCTGTCAAAAACTCCTGACTGAATTATAGGCCTGTTATCAATCTCCGTGAATCCATTACTGTGTATGTTATCAGTGTTTCTGTAGCCATTATTCTATGTACAAAACCAAGGTAAAATTACACTTTGATCATTTCTGCTGTGTTGGAGTTGGCCTTTACCTCTTAAAAGTAAGTTTTACACAGGAGAATAGTATTGCTTCTCTCAAAAAAGTCTTAACCATCTCCTGAGGAATTTTTAATGATTTGAAAGTCAAATAAAAATAGAATCTTCTAAAAGATGATAAGAAGAAATAGTTTTAAAAGTTCTCCAATTTATTTCATGCATCAGTTACCACATTCTTTTTTCCTGGTATTATAAAGCATCCCATTCACCTACCAAAACAAAACTTCCACGTACTAGCACATTCACGCTCTTGCATTCCCAATACTCACACTGCAGGGGAGAATAACAAGCAATGAATATTTCACAGCATTAATAGATTTTAGGAATAAATGTATTAGATAATTGCATCTAATCTATCTAATGTGGAGTCACAAACAGTTCACAAAGTCTCTCCACTTTCCCTTTTTCATATCCTCAGACAATTTAGATTAATTCTATACTTTTTAATTCAGGAAGCAGTTACCCACCAGTGACTACCACCTTTTGCTCATCTGAGGATTGTACAACAGATACCTATTATATTAGCAAGGATACTGACGCAATTGCTCTGAATAACTTCAGCCATATTGACTACACTGAAGGCCAAATGCCCTGTAGCCTTTTAAATCATTTAACAAAAGATGTTTGCTTAACTGTATGTGCAGCTTCCAGAGCTGCCCTTGAAACATTGATTCCAGGAAACTAATTTTATAAACCAAATTAGAAGAGTTTCTGTAGACTGCCTTCTGGGTCACAGCAAATACAAATTAAGTGCTACCCTCCAGAGAAGCGAAGAAACACAATAGGCAATGCCAATATATGTCCTTTTGACTTTGTAGACCACTCTGACATGATGTTGCTCCCAGTTTTTCTACAGAATCCACAGCCATCTGCACAGTTCAAAGTTTTTCCAATAGTAGAAACATACAGTACGCCCAGTAGCCTACATATAGTTTTACTGTCTTTCAAGCCTATTTGAATATGAGACTACTAGAGGAGAAAAGATACTTTGAGCTTTCTAAGATTAATACTTTTGGGTTTCTGCCCTGTAAGGATTTAGATGTGCCATTAGCTTTATTTACTCTCAAAGGCTACCCACAACACACAGCAAAGCTTAAGCCTGTGCACTGTAAAATGTTCAGAAACCACTGGAAAACTCCCATCAATTTTAACAGAGCAGTGATAGGGACATAATACATTGATTTGGTCTCTGGGTTTGAATTCACTCGTCATGGCTCTTTAAATTTGACTCCTTTGCTTGTTCAGGATCTCTATTTTCCTGGTTCCATTTTGATTACTTTTTATCCTTTAAGCAAAATCTCTTCTTTTCAGATCCTACCTTTACTAATATGAAGGAGGAGGAGAGGAAAGGGTAGAATGCCCCTGCATCATTTCTACTACAGACAACATTTCTGTCCAGTGTCCACTCATAGGGTGAAGCTAATGTTCATCCTTGTTTTCGTTTCCTTCCCATCATTTCAGAATTGTTCTTCATCAAGTAAATTGCTTTACAGTGAAAAGCTAGAGGGTGATTTATTTACTGTTTCCATTTCTTCAGAGCCGAACATAAGTATGGCCAAAACAGAGCTCACACAACCATAACTCCTGCAGCATTGTCTGGATAGCAAAGATTGCCTGGACTAGTAACAGATGTTCAGAGGTTTAGTGGGAGAAAAAGCAGAAATCAGCCAAGACGAGCCTGACACTTCTTCCTGAATCTCTCCGCATTCATCCTACAGTAATCAGTGATTTAAGTACCTCGGAAATGCTGATTGAACCTGAGACTAGGTTTAGGTTCTTGCAAACTATTTTAATTTCTCTGGGAACAGCAAATCTTGAAACTGCTAGCTAAGTTAGAAGCCAGTAATGCATCCACCACAAGAAACGATGTCATATTGGGTACTCCTTTCATGGGTCTTTATGTTCATACCTTGCTTCACAGGTAATACAGACCTACAGTTATGTCAGCTACTCATGTCCACGTCAGTATGCAATGCTGTTCACAGACCTCCCTATATTCTTTAAAAAAAAAAAAAATGTCAACAATTTAAAGCTAGTATGGGTATTTGACTGTCAAGATACACTTTGCTTCCCCTGAACTCAGCTACTTGCTGCCTTCTCCTTATCATCACTGGGCAAATTCCCTTTTGGGATCGTGTACTCTTTCACCTACCAGAATAAATATCAGCAGAATTTAGTCATTTAAAAACTAAAAGATAGAACTTTGGTCCTGTTTAACTGTTGTTAAGGTATTTGCAGTGATAGTACTGCTGGAACATTATTGCTAAAAACTGCCAGGGTTGTGATTTAATCTGTTGTGAGAACATTTTAAACCCATGAAAAGATACCTTGTAATCTAAGTAAAAAAGGTACCAGAAAGAGTTATCTTACTTCAAATGGTAGCTCTGTTATTTCCAGATTTCCAGACAAATCCAGCTTTTCCAGATTCTCACAGTCACCCAGTTCCGGAGGGACTGATTTCAAATTATTAAAACTCACATTGAGTACTTTGAGGTTTTTTAAGCAGCCTGTTAGGGAAAGATAATTAAAATCAGTGCGACAAAACCACAGAGGGCTGAAGTGAAACAAAAAGTACACTCAGTTTAGCTACAAAAACAAAATCCTCAACAGAATGATGAATAAATCATGAATAAACACTTTCAGCAACAGGCACTCATTATTGGAAGCAAAACTGCTCTGCTGCGCTCTGCTTGCAGCCTTCCCTTATAATCAGCAATGGACTCAGAAAAGCTTCGCCAAGAGGCAGCAAAGACTTGCCGAGACCTTGATTTTACTCGTAATGAGGTCCCTATTTACCTTGGGAGAAATGTGAGAAGTTGGCTTTTAGCCCAGCCACTTAAAACTGATTTACTTGTTCTATGACTGAGGAGCATCTTAGGGATCGCTACAGAGCATGTACATAGCACACAATTACACCTACCAAACTTACTGATAGACATTAGGAACTGCATTTGCTGTATGCAGCATCTCATACATTTTTGACTTAAATAGCAGTGATTTTAATAGTCCTATCTGATTATAATAGATAATGGGACTCTGTGTTTGTTTCATTTTTTACTTTACTGCATAGATTCATTGTCAGCTTAATTTTAGGGCCCTACTGATATTTTAGGACATGTTTATTCACATTGTGCTTCCAGCTTCTTCTATTTATAGCAAAACATAATCTGCAGTAAAAGCAGGTCTAGCAACATCATTAAAATGCAAAATACATTATACCGCAAAAATACAAATTATACTGTGACATATTAAGAGAAGAAGAAAGTATGGCATTTAAATATATTGAATAGCTGAAATGTTAGCAAAGGAATCCTTAAACAGTTATAACAAAGACAAGAATTTTTTCTGTGGACAGCTGTCCTGCTGTGTTATATAGATCATCTTCCTCTCTTACCAGTGATCAAATAAAGCATCACAGGGGAAAGCAAGAAACTTAAATCCCATTCAGTAATTAGAATGAACAGCGGCTTGTGTCTAAATTATCAAAGCAGGCTACATATAGGCAAATTGAGTAAAGACATATAATAAGCTCTAATCTTTGTCTATAAAAGCATTCTATCATGCAAATCACCAGTTAGCTGATATTACAGATGCGTTAATTTCTATTATTTATATATCATTGTCTTCTGTTTATAATGCAATTTTAAGAGAAAAATATGTACTTTCATGGGATTTGAATAGCACTGGAAAGAATGTCTTTATAATACATAGCAAGTACTTAAAAATGTCATAACAGTAATCTTATCTGTAAGGAACTAATAGAAATTTAGTTAAACTCCTTCCAAAGTACTTGTTTTGGAGCTGCCCACCTTGTGCAACCTGTTGAAATCATTACAGAAGGCCAGAGAGTGCTTTCACAGGAAGGAGCAGAAATGTACGGAAATGAAAGCCTTGCAATTTTCCTCTAAGAAATTGCTTTGGCAGAGGCAATACATAATTTGATGGCCTATACTCACAGCCCAGCTTTTTGCACAGACTTCAGAGAGTCCATTGGACACAGCATTTCTTTGAACAGCAGCTGGAGCACCCAGATCTTTCTCCCAGGTGGCAGACAAGCGAAGTATGGGGAAATCTCTCCTGAGTTAATCTCTGCAGGTTGCAGCAAACAAAATATACAGACGCTTTCCCACAGCTAAGCAAGGCACTTTTTTTTCCTCATTTAGGCAGCTCTGTCTAGAAGTTCAAAATGAGATCGTATTTCAAAACTCAGCCTTGTCTTTTTAAGAAGCTGACCTTTTCTGTCCTCTTTGCTGTGAAGTGCAGTTTTAGTTAAACCAGCAAAAATAGAATTACCCTTAAGAATACAAAAGACATTTACTTTGGCAGTAGAGTACTATCCCACAAGGGTCATTTGAGCTGATGCAAGAGGGTAACAGAAGAAGCTTAAGGGTATAAATTTAAGAGCCTTCTTATTTCCAGGTTTTCAAGCACATAAAAATAATACAGTGTTAGCCTATCATGTGTGCTAAGATGTAGACAAATTAAGGTATTACACTACATACTAAATAGTATAAATAGCAGCTTGTAAATTCATCATAAAAACATCTCAAAGCTATATACTACCACTTCATTCCATTCATTAATTTGCCATCTTCCACCTTAAAAGTAGTTCGCTTTCTGACATGCACTGCTCTCATCGAAAAATATGTTGTCACATCCCTTCCATGATTCAAAATGATATTCCAATTGCCAGCTTAGGTATATTCACAGAAATTTTATAATCATTCATTCTTTTACCAGCTTTATCCTTAAATAGCACTTTCCTTTCCCTGGTGTTTACATCCCTCATGTTTTCATAGGCAGCAGTAGACACACTGACCTTTGCTTTACTAGCCTAAAAAATCTGAATTCTTCTAATTTCCTGTCATATTTCCTCAAATATTTCCTCATCTGAACTCTCCTAATAGACTTCTTTTGCATCTCTAAGTAAACCTTTCTTGAATCTGAATAACCACAACTACACACATTACTCCAGACATGTTCTTATTGCTGTTTGGAACAACAGAATTACAGAATCAAAGAATGGTTGAGGTTGGAAGGGACCTAGAGAAATCACCTAGTTCAACTCCTCTGCTCCAACAGGAATATCCAGAGCATATGGCACAGGGTCGTATGCAGGTGAGTTTTGAAGATCTCCAGAGAAGGAGACTCCACAACCTCCCTGGGCAGCCTGTTCCAGGGCTCTGGCACCCTCACAGGAAATAAGTTCTCCCTCACATGGAGATTCCTGTGTTTCAACTTGTACTCATTACTCCTTCTGTCACCGGCCACCATTGAGAAGAGCTTGGCCCCTTCCTCCCTTCATTCTCCCCTCAGGTATTTGTACATGTTGATCAGATCCCCTTCTCAGTCTTCTCTTCTGCAAGCTAAACAGGCCCAGCTCACTTAGTCTTTGCTCGTACAAGAGATGCTTCAGTCCCTTAATCTTTGTCACTCTACACTGGACCCTGTCTAGAAGCTCCACGTCCATCTTACACTGGGGAGTTCATAACTATACACAGTACTCCAGGTGTGACCTCTCTAGAGCTGAGGAGAGGGGCAGGATGACCTCCCTCCACCTGCTTTCCACATCCCATTGGCCTTCTTGGCCACAAGGACAAATTGCTGCCTCCTGGTTGTTAACACCAGGACTCCCAAATCTCTCTTCACAGAGCTGCTTACCTGCATTCAACCCCTAATCTGTAATAGTACCTGTGGTTATTCCTCTCCAGTGAAGGACCCTGCACATCTCCTTGTCGAATCTTATGAGATTCCTCTCTGGCCAACTCTCCAGCCTGTATATTCCTGGCTCCTCCTTCTCACCAGGTTTTATGAAGCCTGGAGTGACACTGGCTTTCTTCCAGTCCTCCAGCACCTCCCCTGCTCTCCAGGACCTCTCCAAGATGATGGAGAGCAGCTGAGCAATAACCTCTGCCAGTTCCCTCAGCACTCTTGGGCCCATCTCATCTGGGCCCATAGATATATGGGTGTCCAGTTGGCCTTAATGATCCCTAAATGATCCCAATCCTCTTCAACCAGCAACAAGTCTTCCTCTCTCTCAGTTATGTCTCTTGTCTCCAGGTTCTGTAGTTCTTGGGGACCAGCCTTAGCAGTAAAGATAGAAGCAAAGAAGGCATTTAGTAAATCTGCCCTATCTGCATCATCTATCACCAAGGCACGCTCTCCATTCAGCAGCAGCCTAACATTTTCCCTGGTGTTCCTCCTGCTGCTGATGCATTTGTCTCTTCCTGATGTCCCTCTTCCTGATGTCCCTGACATCTCTTGCTAACTCTAATTGCAAATGGACCTTGACCTTCCTCGTATCCCCACATTCTCTGACAATGTTCCTATATTCTTCCCATCTGGTCAGGCCCTTCTTCTACATTACACATGCTCTCTTTTTCTCATCACATTTTCCTAAGAGCTCCTTGCCCATCCACTCAGGTCTCCTGATCCCCTTGCTCAACATGTTTTCTGGTAGGAATGCATGAATTATGAACTTGAAGAAAGTGGTGTTCGAATATTAGCCAACTCTCCTGGATCTCCCTTCCTTCTAGGACCCTGATGCAGAGGATTGCTCCAAGGAGTTCCCTGAACAAGTCAACATTAGCTTTCTTAAAGCCCAGGACTGCAATCCTACTTCTCACCCAGCTTCTTCCATGCAAGATCATGAATTCTAACATCTCGTGGTCTCTGCAGCCAACACTGGCCTCAACCCTCACATTTCCCACTAGACCATCTCTGTTTGTATCAGGTCTAGCCGTGCCCCTCCCCATGTTGGCTCATCAACCCTCTGCATCAAGCAGTTGTTTGCAATGTTCTGCATGAACCTCCTGGACTGTCTGTTCCCAGCTGTGTGATTATCCCAGCAGATATCAGGGTAAAACCATCCACAGCCATGTTCCAGTCATGAGAGCTGTCCCACTATATCTCAGTAACTGCAACGAGATCATGGCCCTGCAATCGCACACACATCTCAAATTCCCCTTATTTATTACATATGCTGCATATGTTTACACAGAGTCATTTTGGCTGGGCTCTCAAAGTGCCTCTCATTCTAGCTGGGGCAGCTACAGCTTGGCTAAGTGGGACTTCAGTAGTTCTCTTATTTCGCCATTTTTCCTCTCCAGACTTTGGGCACCCTTCACAGGTTCTTAGCATCAGTACTTTTCTTCAGCAGAACATATCTTGCATTTAGATTACCTTACACTTGCCTTTTCTGTGTATATCACCATGGTGAGTCAGTTTGGCACTGAGAACTTAGAAATTTCCATTCTCTACTTGTTTATGTTTAGTGAACCTATAGCTCTGTACTCATGAATTTAGTAACCCCTACTTCTACTGCAGCCCTCATGCCTGTTTAGCTCTTCACATTTCAGCATGCTTACGCAGTGGCAGCAGCTCCAAAACTGTGTTAACAGAAAGTTTTATTAGCACAGCTCAAAAACTAGAAATAACATCCAAGACTGATCCCTGAGAAAACTATCCAACAGGAATGGCGGACCATACTTGTCATGTAAAGAGGACA